GCCCCTAGTTATGTCCTACATGTTCTTAAATTATATTTCAAATCTTAATTCCACTGATTTTCATCAATGTAGTGACATGGATTGGTTGCTCTTTCCATTGTACTAACCATATTCATACATATGAATATACAATGCAGAAGATGAAAAATAGCTTAATTCTCCATCAGTTAATTTTTTCTAAATCATAAAAGGTGTTGCAGGAACATTTTGGTTAATTGGGCCACTGAAGGACAGAGTTGAATACAAATAATCTTTTTCATTATTAGAATCACCTGCGGAGTTATAAGTAGATGTATTTGGAATTCACTTTTGTGAAAGAGTCTTTTCACTTCATGAAATCAAGTTTGCAATGAAAATGAAAAAAATAATAATGAAAGATCTTGTAATTGTATATATGCCATATTCTTTAGGTCAAACTCATTCAAGATTTTATGTTAGTGGTGGAAGTTGTTTCTTGCTTTAGGTAGTGACATTGGGATCAAGGAACTGGGATTCAGTATCACCTTTCTTATTTTCGGGTGTGTTGTGCCCAGATGATGGGATAAGTTCATAATCCCAAGGGCATCTTGAGGCCTTTGCAATTTCTGATAGTCATCCTATCAAAAGTGGCTGTTGTAAGGTGGATTAATGAAGTAGGGCATGGTAGGCACTTCACTACTAATCATGTGCTTGGAAGTTGTCTGCTCTTATCTTGCTGATTGGCTCCTAGGCTTTTATAGTATGCTATTTCTTGGAACTGGTTTGGTGCTGCCCGTACAGGTTGTATGGCCTGTTATGCTGGAAGCCAGTTTTTTGAACAGCGGGCATAGAAAATGTAGTCGGGATTGGGTTTTGTTGTTTAAGTTATATGTGGATCTGCAGATGTAGTGATGCCTAAGCTGTACGAAACACTTTAGGTATTAAAATCATGCTCATGGTTACTAGATGTGTATGAGGACGATCAAGTTTAGACAGTATTGAGGTTCTGGGGATCACATGACATATAATGCTCGATCTCTTCAGGTTCACATCTTTTATCCTGATGGAAGGGGGAACGTTGACTTGATTGTTGTGACTTATGCTTACAGGAGCATTTAATGCTCTTGAGATTGTAGTGAAACTGGTTATGCTGATAGTGAGGTCTTTCTGCTTCTTGATATGGAAAGAACATTCTTGGAGTTGGGATTTATGAATTTTCCTTATTGTTTCTTTGGGTCTTCCCTTCCTCCTATAAATTCTCTTTAGGAGAGAATGTTTCTTGCAATTTAAAGGCTTTATCATCCGCATGGTGTCCTCCATTGTGTATTTCTAGGTCAAGTGCATGTCCTTTAATTTGTTGAAAGATTTTGAAAGATTTCTTTAACACTGGTGGGAGATTTCATGTAAGCGAAAAAACTTGTTTAAAATGGAGAATTGTAACTTGAGCAATGTAAATAAGTTTTTGCATTACTTTCCTAATCCTCTGACCTTTAAAGTTTTCAGAAACATATCATGAGGCATTTGCCTATGAGCTATGTTAAATAAACATTGGGTCCTTCTCCACTTCAAATGTTACACATGATAGAAAGGGTACTCTAGGCATCAATCTAGGTCTCTTATATTGAAGCTACATATGCTTTTGATGGACTGGATGTTAAATTAATGTTGGAGACTTAAAATCAGATTTTTTTTGTGTCATGGTTGTTGGTGTCCTTTGAAACTCTTTTTGAAAGTGCTTAATAAAGAATGTGCTGAATTTATAGATATTAGATTTTCTTTTAAATGGACACTGGGTAACTATCTCCTTTTATTTTAAATTGGATATATAGTGTGCTCCTTCCATTCTCTTCTAATATTATATTGTTCTTTTGCTTGCAGGTTGCCTCTTACTCCTGGTTGTAATTTATTGCTGTATTTTAAGTGATGGGGCATAGACATTTATTTGGCACATCCCAAATGTTTGAAAACGAACATGAGAACAGCTGGAATCATCTACATACAGAGCAACATTTTGGAAATTTAGGTATTGCTTGGTTCATGCCTTGCTTATTTCATAAGGAGATGGTATAATGCATAATAAAATGCATCATAATGTCAAGACTTGTTGTCTATAAGGTTTTTGTTTTTTGTTCAGGGGGCTAAGCTAAGTTGCCTATAACATAGTTAAACTCATTGTAATCTGCTTACCCAGGACATTGGATTGGTTATGCCTTTGCATTATACAATCTGGCTTGATTCATGCACTGACTATTTTTGTCAAGACTAATTGCTTCTGTGCATGTTCTGCAGTGAGGGCGGGCACTTCAGAGAATGGTTCTCTTTTCTGTCCTGCCGAAAATTCTAATGATGTGCATTTCCCTTCTCATTGGAACCCTGTTGCAAGGTCAAGTGGGTATGCTACATCAAGTCACATTATTGAAGGTCCACAGTATCAACCAGACACTTCAGGCCCTTCCCATGACTTTTTTCCGCATCCATCCACTGCTGGAACCTTTGGTGTAGCCCCTGAAAATTATGGACCCTCATCCAGTTATGATAGGCAAACTTTACATGGAGTTGAGGGCAATTTTATTGGTCTCTCAATGAGCAGTGTAAGAGGGCCTCACAAGCGAAAAAGCCCTGGAATCCCTGCAGTCTGTGAGATAGGTAGTTCAAGCCAATACCCTGGTGCTGGAAGCTCCTCTGATCTTGCTTTATCTTGTGACCCTTGGCTGGAGAAACAAACTGTGGATTCTCAACACATGCATTGGGATAGTATTGGCATGACCCCCAATTATAGAGGCAATGGCCTTTCAATTAGGGGTGAGGATTCCATGAGGAATGTGAGAAGCCGCCCTGCAATTGATCTGGAATCCAATTTAGTTAGGAACCATTTATCTCACAGTTCCCACTCTATGAGCCAACAACCAGTTGACTACTCTAGCTCCATGGAACTTTCAGGTCAGGCCTCTAGTGCCTTGACACGAGACTGGACCCATTCAGGAACATCTTCAGGTCATGTAGGGCTTCAAGTTTCAGGTTAGTTCCATGTTTTTCTGCCCCATATTTTGAAGATTCTATCATTTCTGAGCTTTTGATTGTATTTGCAGATTCAAATGGTCTTAATCATGAGACAAACCGTTTCCTGGGTGGTGGCAGTGCTGCAAATGTCTCCCTAGAGGTTGGGGGATTTAATCATGAGTTCATTTCAGGTAGAAGTCCTCTCGTTCCTCAAAGTTTTCATGGTAGCACAACACAATCTGCAAGAGGTGTTCGGAGTAACTATTCTCAAAGATCCACTCCACCTGTTAGGGCTTCAAGCAGTGTGCGCCTAGGACATTTGGCACCACCAGAGGATGGAATGCAGTTGGCTGTTGAAAGTTACCCCTCTAGACATTCCTTGCCATTATCTGCTACATGGCGAAATAGTGAGAGAAGTGGAAGGCAAAGGATATCAGGTGATAGATACCGATCCCTGTCTGATGATGCAGCTTTCAATGAACGATTTTCATCTGAGGTATCTTTTGATTATCAAGGAATTTATTATACCATTACAATTTAGTGACCAAGATGTGTTTGTGGTTCTTCTGGGACTGCTATACCACTTTGCCAGCAGTGCACTTATTTTACATTGTGACTTATTCCCCCTTTCCTGAGTTGAGTTACAGCAATTTGTCTATGGATGGCCAGACTTTAGGCACTCATTTCTTATTTTGCAATGACCCCTGCTTGCAATCAAGTATTTCTCTTTTTTCAATAGAATACAGAAAATAGGTTAATCCATAGCACCTCCAGCATATTACCTTGATAGACGGCATATTGCAATTGGTTCAGTCATAAGCTAATTAGCGGACTTTGTCTTTATCCTGCAGGGCTTCATGGTTGTAGATCGCCCAGCAGCATATGGATCTAGAAATATGCTTGACCAGCATAGAGACATGAGGTTAGACATAGACAATATGACCTATGAGGTATGTATAAGTGTTTGTCTATATTTTTTGCGTTACTTTTTCCATTTTTGTTAATGTCAGTCCTGAGAGATCTCGGGTGTTTTGATCAGGAATTACTTGCACTAGAGGAAAGGATTGGGAATGTTAGCACAGGCTTGTCAGAAGATTTAATATCCAAATGTTTGACTGAAAGCGTTTTCTTCGAATTGGAATTATTCCAAGAGAAAGAAACTTGTGTAATCTGCTTGGTAAGAACTCTTTACCCTGTTTGAATCCAGACATGTGCAGAAACTTCGTTTCATCTTTTTACATGTCGCTTAGCACTTGTTGTGGTGGCTGATCCAACATTTTAAAGCTATTGATGTTAATAAGATGGAAAATTTTGAGTAATGATCTTCAATCATTTTGACACTTTTTTTCATATTAACAGGAGGAGTACCAGGACATGGATCGCGTGGGGGCAGTGAAGACCTGCGGCCATGACTACCATGTTACCTGCATCAAGAAGTGGCTTTCAATGAAGAATACATGCCCGATCTGCAAAGCTTCTGCTCTGGCAGATGGCATGAAGGAAAAACAATAAAATTTTTCCTGGTTTTACTATTTATATTCATGTATATATTCTCTTCAGAATTGCTTAAACAAAGAAAATAAACATTGTTTAAGAAAATCAATTTGTTGCAGGCTTCTATAAAATTCAAGCCATTAGATCCTACTGTTAATTTAGATGGTGCAAAGTCGAGTAAATGAAGCTGTGCCTTTAGGTGTCAAGGTTTTCTCATTTCATCTCTGCCACGGTGAATTCGAAAATTTTTTTATGAAAATTGAAAATAACTAGGAAAGTACTATTTTTTTTCCCCTGAATTTCTTGAAGTAATACAATTGAAAATCAACACCGGTCAAATACAACAATTATATTTTAAGCACGACATGCCAACTGATTGAGGAAGTAACTTCTGTCAATGGATGGATAAATTCTACGGCCTTCGTCATCAAGTAGAACAATTATTAACTACTTAATACTAGAGTAATTTCTAGAATCTAGTAGTATTTTTTTTCGTCTGTGACACTAAGCCTTAAATTAGATCTAAGATATATATATAAAAAAACCATTAGATTTAACAAGAAAAGGTGGAGTTCGTTTCCTATTTTATAGTTTAGGTTGTATTTTAGATAATAAAATAATAAAATAAGGATCATTATATAGGAAGAGAGTTTAATATTCATAGACCTATTACCATTTAATTGTTAGGGTTATATAATTTGATATAGTTTGAATTACATAATAATTTTTTAAAAAACAATAATAATAAAATAGATGAATTTTATGGGACTGAAATTTGAAATTAATAAATTACAGTAACAATGTAATTTAAAATATTAAAAAATAAATATTATATTATTTAAAGGAATGATATATTTATATGCAAGTTTTATATATTATATTTATACATAATTTCAATCCTTGAAAGTAGAGAAAAAATTTATCAACATTTTGTGTAAATGTGGTATGTAAAATTTATGTGTAAGTAAATCTCTCTTCTATTATTTA